CGTGGGTGCCTGTGTGTGTGCGTGTGGTTCCACTGCCGGCACGCCTGTAGTACACACAGTGTCAGAAGGTGCAGTTCGCCGTGTTTTCCTCTTTTGCCCTCTTAAGTTGTTGGGGTTTATTATTTATTTATTTATTTATTACCTTCTGGAGAGTGTGTTGTTAAAATAACCACGGGTGAGGCATTAACGGCTGTAACTGATGCTGCTGTCCGCCCCTTCGGCCTTAGCAGGGCCAGCGTGCACCTGTGGGATCACACTGACCTGACCTCAACGCAGAACGTTAAAGGGAGAAGAGCTGCCAGCCCGTCCAGCCGGCTCTGTTCGGTTCCCTGGTTTCATCATCCCTTCGCTGTGTTTCACAACAGTGAGGTGGCACCGCGACCTGCTTGGCTGTGGCACGTTGGCACTGTAGTCATGCCACCAGCATCCACGAATTAAAACACAGCCGGGACACTTCTGTGTTCCTGGGGTGACTGACGCTCCCTGCAAAGCTGTGCTGGCCTGGCAGTGTCTGAGGGGAGGGTGTTTCAATACAGGCACACACATACACACGCTAGTGATGTGGAGAGTTGTTACTGCATATTTCTCTGTTTAAAATTATTTGTGTGTAAAACCACATTTGTGCTAATCAGTGTGTTGCATATATGTGATTATATTGGTAAGAATCTAAAGTATAGTAGAGGCCTGAAATGTAACTGGATCACTTAATATACTCCCATTACTTCCTTTACACAAGAATTTAAAGGCTAGTGAAAACTTACATAGACAAAGATAAGTCTTTTTCTATATGAGTGTAAAAATATATGTAATTCCCAGGTCTGAGAACTGTAATCTTTATATCCCAGGGTGCTCTGTGTGTCTGTGTTTACAGATGTTTTCTCCTGATGAGTGTCTCTCACCTAGTTGGCTAGTGGCTGTGCCTGGAGTTCTTGGGAGGAAAAAAAAAAAAATCTGTTCATGAGCCTGGTTCAAACTTCCAAGTTAAATCTCTGGTTGACTAGACTGGCAGAATACTTCTGGCAAAAAGGAAAAAATGTGTATGGCTTACTTTGTTTTGGTCTGTTTGTTTTCTTTGCAAACTTTGTTTTGCTCTATTTTTTTCTTTACAAACTTATTTATTAATTGAGGCTTAAATTATTATGGATTATAGAAGCTGACTTCTATGGGATGTTTGTCAGCATAACAGATTTGTATGAAAGCAATGTGTTGTATATGTTATTGAAGGCATTGGTAGAAGCTGACTTCTATGGGATGTTTGTCAGCGTATGAAAGCAATGTGTTGTATACGTTATTGAAGGCATTGATGGGAAGGTTATATCCACAGAGAGTTTACCCTAAAATTTCCTTAAAGTACAAGTTTGAAAATCTGTTGTGAGATGTGAGGGGTTTTCTTGCTGTTGTTTTGTTTTTAACTTTGTTTTTGCTTAATTTCAGGGAAAGCTCAGGCAGAAGGTGGATCAGCTCGGACATCACTTCTTATTTTAGTGTCTATCTTCTTATCAGCTGCTTTCCTTATGTTCCTGGTATATAAAAATTTCCCACAACTTAGTGAGTAAGTATGTTGGGAAAGATTAATTTACTTGCTTTTCATTCGGGATCAAGTTGTAGAGGAGCCTAGATGGGGCTAAATGATTTTTAAACTGCCATGAGTTAATTATAGTTGTAGTCTTATTTTTTTAAAAAGGGAATTTGAGTGTGTAACCTAGAATGTCAGGCTACAAAGCCCAGTATTGAAATACTACCTGGTAGCATCTGTGTAAACAGAGTTGTACTTGACCTAGGGTTTCTGCTGGTCAGTTGAGATGCCATGTTTTGAAAAGTTACCCTCTGTCACATTAGCAATAGTAACTCACTATGTTGTTAACCTTCCTCAGCTGAGAGCCAAAATGTGCTTGATTAGGGCTAGGTTTACTTTAAAATTCCTTGTGCTCTGGTATAACAGCAGGCTGCTGTCACACTGGGACATTCTTCCTTCATTGATAAGCTTTTTCTCCTTTCCATTGCATCTGGTACTCATGTTGGGAAGGTAGATAGTTTGACAAGATGAAAGCCTGCTTGTCTGACAATTTTCTTTTTTTCTTTTAGTATTTAATTTTCTGTCTGATTAACTTGCTCAACAAGTTCAGTTTGCAACAGTCCAATCACTAAGTCTGATACAGAGGAAGAGAGGACACTCAGCTGTGCTGCCCAGGGTTGCACCAGATTAAGGTGTGACATGAGATTTTGCTCTTAAAGCTTTGTTGGTTCATGAGGTAAAGCTCTGCTGCTCTTGCTGCACTTCAAATGTTATGACCCTAGTGTTGAGGCAGTTACAGTTGTTTTTGGCTGAAATGTTGACTGCTGTTTAGTTACCAAGGTTGGGTTTGAGTAATTATTTCTTTTTGATCCTTACTCGATAAGGAAAAATCCCAAAACCCTATAAATGAAGTTGATTGTACTGAATAAAAAAATATGGTTTGCAAATATCTAAAATTGAGGTTTTTCTAGTACAAAACACACTGTAAATATTAAGTGTTCATCTGAGAACATTATCACAACAATAATCATGTGGTTTGTTTGCTGAGGTTGTAGTGTAGTGATGTAGTGTATCTGATTATCTATATATTCAGTAACTACTTT